TTGTTAATGTCCGGTTGTAGATAACTTGAACCTTAACTTAATTAAAATGAATCAACTGAGTGTGTTACCGTGATGGCCTCTTCTCGGCGGAGTCCGGGAAGTGGACACGGTGTTGGAGTAATGCTTGCGCAGGTTGCTCTCTAGTTTCTCGTTCGCGCTTTGCCTCCTCTTCTCGCTCTATTTTGCGAATAGGATAGCCACCATATTTGCTAGTCGCTTGCTGCAGTTCCACATATTTACCTTGCCTTACCTATAAGCTCAAATAGTCTTGATCGCGAGGGTGCGAGATTGCTGAGTCCCTGTGGCTCACAAATTACTATTACACCAGATGCAGGGCCTGATGATTCCGCTCCAGATGGCGCGCTCGAGCTCAAGTGGGAGTTCGACGAGGACTCTCAACGATACTATGTTTCCTTTCCTGATGATCAGTAGTGGTGCCCAGTTGGGGGTGATCGGGACCGTGTCGCATGTTGGGTTATCTTTTATTTTGGCGCCGTAGTCGAGCCATGAGTGTTTGGATGATGTAATGTTATTTATGTACTTGATTGACATGGCGAGTGTAAGCCAACTATGTTATCTCTCCTTTTTTATCTATATTACATGGGATGTTGTGAAGATTGCCTAGCTTGCGACATATGCCTTCAATGCGATTATGCCTCTAAGTCGTGCCTCGACACGTGGGAGATATAGTCGCATCGAGGGTGTTACAAGTTCATCACCCCAGCCAAGAACAGACCCTCGCGAGGCTGTTCTTCCTTGTACTGTCCACTATCATCAGCCCAAGATGCAATCCACCATACCACACATTGGAATAGGGTATTACACCACAATGGTGACCCGAACCAGTATAAACCCTGTGTGCCTTGTGTTGTTCTTTTCGTAGCTTTGATCCTAGCGTGGCGGAGGGATGCAGGGAGGTAGGAGGCGAAATCTCCGCGCGCACCACAGTATTCGAACCTCAAGGGTCTGCCGGAACCCGAAATCCGACAGTTTTTTTTGTTACATAGAAGAGGTATGTTTCCTATTGCTGTATTTTTTCCCAAAGTCTTTGTGTAGAGGGGTTAGGTCAGGTTGTCTAGGACAGGGTAGTTCCACCATATGCTATTGGGCCTCGCTAGAGTGCATTTATTCGGGGCTGGTTGTAAACGATCTAAAAGTTGTACTGATATCCTTGACATAAGATTTGAATAAAATTGATTTCGTTTTTGACCGATTCTTTTGGCTATTGAAGCGAGACATACACTTCTCTTTTCTCATACATACAATTGTTTATTGTTTTGACATACATACAACTGTCATGATTTATTGGTATATTATCTGAAGATGCTCTAAGTTGGTGTTGCTTGATCTGAAAACCGTAGTTTGTCAAATCTACAAGACCATCTATGAGATATTGAACTATGTGTAGTTTTTTTCCGTTGCAACGCACGGGCCCTTTTGCTAATTAAAAATTTAAAATAAAAAGGGAGGGGCCAGAAAAATTATGGTAGGACTAGACGAGGCAAGGGCTCAACCACACGCACAGACGTCATCAAAATCGCCGTCTCCGTTAAACTTGACAGCAGCTGCCTGCTTGACACGTTTGGGGGTATGGAGACATGCTACAAGGAGAGCTACAAGATCAATCGTTCTTGGCTCACAGCTCAAACCTGTACTGCCACATGACAGTTATGTTTTTTTTTACTTCTCCATCTATTTCTGCATATTAAGTCATAAAATCCCTCAATAATTGGTAAAGAGTAGAAGATATGTGCCAGAATCAACAATTCAACACATATAGTTACAAAACAAAAAAATATTATACTGATAAAAACACATCATAATCGACCAAACTTGCAGGCAGAAGCGTTTTCAGAATAAAAGAAAATTAATACAAAGTAATATACCCTACTTAAATTAAATAGTATTTTAAGTAAAAACTGATTTGTATCCTTAGCGATGGATTCCACTAAAATGCATAATCAATCACTATATAATCAGATTGACGTAATATGACATTTTTATTTCGTTGGAGTTGTACGATTGCAATTTAAATCAAAATAACTAAAAGCTGTAAGAAAACAAAATACATCAAAATCGCAGCTGGAATAGTGCATTAAAGATAATGGACCACAACCGGTCATAAAAGAAAATTACATGACTCGGTCACATAATCTAGGATGTACTATACATTGTGTAATAGTGTAAGCTACAAAATACATCCATATGAGAATGTTCTGCTAATATTTAGGATGTTAGAGATTTGCACCAAGTTTATGAGCCATGATGAGCCGTTTCTACTCGATATCTTGATGTTGAAAGAGAGATGCACCCGTTGCAACGCATGGACCCTTTTGCTAGTTCCAAAATTATGTACGTCAGGTTAGAGTTTTAGTCATACACGTGATGGAAGTCAAGTCATATTCGGTTTTAGTCATAGAGTTTCCTGTGCGCCCGTCCGACGAATCCGATCGCTAGTTTAGCTAGCTAGCTTTCCTGCGTGTACTCCAAGGATCGGTCCAATAGCTTGATTTGGCCTAAGCTTTGTATGTGCGCGTATCCCGCCGGAAGAACTCGGCGGCGAGAAGGCAAGGATGCCAAGGCGGCGCGGCAGCCGCCGTGGGCGGAGGCGTCGGCGGCATCACCTCTACATCGTCTTTGATGACTGGTCGTGTGGATACTCCATCCGCAAGCTAAACCTGACGGCCGCCGTCTCCGGCCAAGCCGACGACGACGTGCCGGACCTGCCTCCGGCGTTCTTCCGCTTGGAGGCGACGCATGGGTGCGCGGAGTACTTCGCGTCGGCCTTCGGCACCAGGATCTTGGCGATGAGTACCAGGGATCCCGCAGGCCGCAGATTGCTGGCCGGGACCTTCGTCCCCATGCTGGACGTCCGCTCCATGAGCATGACCTTCGGCCCCGGGCAGGAGTACCCGATCAATCCCATCTACCTCTCTGTCGGCAATAAGCTCTTCAGCCTGAGCGAATCCTCCTTCGAGATACTCGTCTGGGAGCCGACCTGCCCCCCGCCGCTGGGTCGGTCTCGCGGCGTGGAGTGGTCGTGGGAGCGGCTCCCGGACCCGCCGTTCAAGGTTTATACCGTCGCCTCCTACGTTCATCAGGAGCTCAAACATGATCAGGAGTTTAAGGAGGAGAACGAGGGGTATGTGCGACCACCCGATCGCTCTTTCCCCATTGAGGACGACGACGTTTATCAGGAGCTCATAGATGATCAGGAGTTCAACGAGGAGGACGAGGGATACGTGCCAGCATGACCACCCGGTCGCTGTCTGTATCGATTGACCACATTCTCTCTCAGCCATGACATGAATGGAGACCTCACGACTGACAAGAGCCGTCTGGTGCAATACTACAAAGTGCCTAAAGCAACCACTCAGCGGTTCCTCGCTCAAGATCCTGTCGTATTTTGGATGTAAAATTACAAAATCATGTCATGATGATGAGTCCCTCTGTTTATTTTTCACTCAGTTGTGACTCTGTTGCCTTCCCATGTTTTCATGTGTATGAGAGAGTTCGCATCAAGAAAAAAGAATTCCATGCATGTTATGACATTTTTTCCCCGTATCGAGCTTTTTAGTGATTTTTTTCTGAGTTAGATCTTCATTGATTTTAACTCGATACAGCTAGCTTAGTAAGCTGCAAATAACACTTAAGACATCGCCTGTCGCCTGATACTAGCAAAGGAACGCATCATTTTAATTTATGCGTGGTGATTTTGCTATATCCGACGATCTATCATTAATTTTACGGAAATGTTAACGTCCACACGTGTGGGCTTTGACCATCTCAACCACACGCATCCATCACCGTCCAGTACTATATGCACGAATCTTGACACAATCTAGCTGATTTTCTGTGCCACGTAGGACAAGGCGTGTGTGTGTGGTGTGTGACATAGTTCGCCCACACATCCGTTTTATCACACGGAGGGGCCGGTGTGTGGGCGTTTAGCAGGTCACCCACACACCAGTTTCCAGTCACGCACAAGGGCTGGTGTGTGGGCATTTGCCATCTCGCCCACACGCCCGTCTCCTCTCCCACACGTAAGCTGCTAGTTGCCATGTGTTTTTGCAGCGCATATGGCAACTTCCTGTACTGTGCTTTATAAGCAGGTGGCAACTCTCTTTTTTTACCCGAGTTGCCATGTGTTTTTGCAGGGTACACGGCAACTGCCTAGTATGCACGTAAGCAGATGGCAACTGTCTTTTACCGAGTTGCCATGTGTTTTTGCATGGTACATGGCAACTGCCCCAACGTGCACGTACATGGCAACTGCCCTAACGTGCACGTAAGCAGATGGCAACTCTTCCTTTTTACATGGCAACTGCCCTAGCATGCTTGTGAGCACATGACAACTCTCTCAACGGCCTAGTGTTAGTATGTGGCAACTCCTAAAGTTATGAAATCATGGCAACTACATTAGATCAGACCATACATGGCAACTGCAGTTGAGCAACCATGGCAACCGCAGTTGTCCGACATGGCAACCGTAGTTCAGCGACATGGCAACCGCAGATAAACGAATATGGACGAGGGTCTGGACCATGGCAACTGCGGGCACGCGGTGGGTGTCACGCGTCGCGTGCGGGACCAGAAGGGTACAAGGCCTGACATACAGGCGTGTGGGCATTATCAACTTCGCCTACACGTACGCGTGTGAGAGGGTTCAGGAGGGAAAAAAAGATGTGTGTAGGCATTAGTTGTTTTGCCCACACGTAGATGTGTGGGCTGGTTGCTGTCCATGCCACACGAGGCGTGTGGCACAACTACCCGATACACCACACGTGTGGCAGTTATCGGGACCCTAATTTTAACCTAAACGCTGACTGACGCCCGTGCGCTCTCCCGAACGCTGGAGCGGCCGCACGACGACCGTCCATCAGAAACAAGGACACCACACGTGGAGGAGAGAATCCGACCGAGATGCGGTGCCTTTTGTTGTTTTGGAATTTTGAAAACGCTCCCCTCCGGTTCTTCCCCATCTCCCATTCCCCTCTCTCATGCTTTCCACACGGGTCGATAGAATCCAACAATCCCTAGCCGCCAGAATTCGACCCACCGTAGCCGGCGAGAGTCCACCACCGACGAGGAGAGCCTTTCCAGTTGGAACGACCACCCACATCGGGGCAGAGGGGAACCGCGTGCATGACCAACAAGTGGACCGACGGGCGAGATGCTGCGCCGCGGACAAGACGGGGAGAAGAGAGGAAGGGGGCGCGCATGGGCGGCTGGCCGACAAGGAACCAACGCGTCTCTGCCACATCTACAAACCGCAGGTCAGTTTTCCGGCGGCTCTCCATTTTTTTTCTCGTCGTTTCTGGGGAAGAAGGGTAGGGGAGCAAACTGGAGACTAAAATCGTGAGCGGGGAGGCGAAATCGTAGTCCTCGTCGGCGATTCAAACCAAAATCGCGTCAGAGCTGTTTGCCTAGAGCAAAACTTCATCTCTGTTTGCCTGCATATTGTGTTGGTTGCCTAATTACGTTGCCTACAGCAAAACCTCATCTCTGTTGCCTGCATATTAGGCAAATATACGTTGTCCATTTATGTGTTTGTAGGCAACTCAAGTACTCATCCTGTATATATGTAGGCAAACTCACACAGTAGTTAAGCTGGACGAAGGTTTCTGTAGGCAACATCTATGTTTGTTCTGTAGGCAAATATATGTTGTCGATTTCTGTGTTTGCAGGCAAGCTCAAGTACTGTAATCTGAATTGTTGCTTGGTCCTTTTTTGTAAAAGGCCAATGTTTGTCAGGTTACTTGGTCTTTTTTTGTGTGTTTTTCACATGGGGGGAATGTGATCAGTTTGTGTTCACTACAACACAAATATTGTGATTCATGTGCTCACGGAAAAATTAATAATCAAAATCAAATTACAATAGGGAGTCCCAGGTTTTGACCCCATGATACATGCTACATCCTGGGATTATTCCTCTACTGAACAAACCATCATGTAGCATTTTCTAATCCTATTATGTTTACAGAAACCACACATTTTGTTTCTAGATATGAAATGTCATGTCATTTCTTTGCCTTTCTGCTCCAGATGATTACAATGCTCTTCACACTGTAGTTGAGTGCCATGCCCGCTGTAGAACTCTGAACCTTTTTACTGATAACCTCTAACAATCAGTTAATTTATGCCTTTTTTTCCTTTTGATGTTCTCTAGCAATCATGTGTTGTTCATGACCTACCCCCCTGCATTTTTTACTAAATCGTGTTTGGTGTTTTGAGTGGGAAATGAACACGATTTCTAGTAATCATGTTTTTGCAATCAGGGATATGCTTTTCTCTGTTCGAGTGGGAAATGAATAGTTTTCAGCAGGGAGCTTATGTTGGGGAACGTAGCAGAATTTTAAAATTTTCTACGCATCACCAAGATCAATCTATGGAGTCATCTAGCAACGAGGGAGAGAGGAGTGCATCTACATACCCTTGTAGATCGCGCGCGGAAGTGTTCAAGAGAACGGGGTTGATGGAGTCGTACTCGACGTGATCCAAATCACCGATGACCAAGTGCCGAACGGACGACACCTCCGCGTTCAACACACGTACGGTTGGGAAGACGTCTTCTCCAACTTAATCCAGCAAGGGGGAAGGAAAGGTTGATGAAAATCCAGCAGCACGACGGCGTGGTGATGGAAGCAACGGTGATCTCGGCAGGGCTTCGCCAAGCGCAAGGAGACGGAGGAGTGTCACAGGAGGAAGAGGAAGAGGCCAGGGGCTTGGGTGCGGCTGCCCTCCCTCCCCCACTATATATAGGGTACCTGGGGGGGGGGGGGCGCCGGCCCTAGGAGATCCAATCTCCTAGGGGGGCGGCGGCCAAGGGGGTGCCTTGCCCCCCAAGGCAAGGGTGGCGCCCCCACCCCTAGGGTTTCCAACCCTAGGCGCAGGGGGAGGCCCAAGGGGGTCGCACCAGCCCATTAGGGGCTGGTTCCCCTGCCACTTCAGCCCATGGGGCCCTCCGGGATAGGTGGCCCCACCCGGTGGACCCCCCGGGACCCTTTCGGTGGTCTCGGTACAATACCGATTACCCCTGAAACTTTTCCGATGGCCGAAACTTGACTTTCTATATATAAATCTTCACCTTCGGACCATTCCGGAACTCCCCGTGACGTCCGAGATCTCATCCGGGACTTCGAAAAACTTTCGGGTTACCGTATGCTAATATCTCTACAACCCTAGCGTCACCGAACCTTAAGTGTGTAGACCCTACGGGTTCGGGAGACATGCAGACATGACCGAGACGCCTCTCTGGTCAATAACCAACAGCGGGATCTGGATACCCATGTTGGCTCCCACATGCTCCACGATGATCTCATCGGATGAACCACGATGTCGAGGATTCAATCAATCCGTATACAATTCCCTTTGTCAATCGGTATGTTACTTGCCCGAGACTCGATCGTCGATATCCCAATACTTAGTTCAATCTCGTTACCGGCAAGTCACTTTACTCGTGCCGTAATGCATGATCCCATGATCAACCACTTGGCCACATTGAGCTCATTATGATGATGCATTACCGAGTGGGCCCAGAGATACCTCTTCGTCATACAGAGTGACAAATCCCAGTCTCGATTCGTGACAACCCAACAGACACTTTCGGAGATACCTGTAATGTACCTTTATAGTCACCCAGTTACGTTGTGACGTTTGGCACACCCAAGGCACTCCTACGGTATCCGGGAGTTGCACAATCTCATGGTCTAAGGAAATGATACTTGACATTCGGAAAAGCTACAGCAAACGAACTACACGATCTTTGAGCTATGCTTAGGATTCGGTCTTGTCCATCACATCATTCTCCTAATGATGTGATCCCGTTATCAATGATATCCAATGTCCATAGTCAGGAAACCATGACTATCTTTTGATCAACGAGCTAGTCAACTAGAGGCTCACTATGAACGTGTTGTGGTCTATGTATTCACACATGTATTACGATTTCCGGATAACACAATTATAGCATGAAGAATAGACAATTATCATGAACAAAGAAATATAATAATAACCATTTTATTATTGCCTCTAGGGCATATTTCCAACAGTCTCCCACATGCACTAGAGTCAATATTCTAGTTACATTGTGATGAATCGAACACCCATGCAGTTCTGGTGTTGATCATGTTTTGCTCTAGGGAGAGGTTTAGTCAACGGATCTGCCACATTCAGGTCCGTATGTACTTTACAAATCTCTATGTCTCCATTTTGAACACTTTCACGAATGGAGTTGAAGCGACGCTTGATATGCCTGGTCTTCCTGTGAAACCTGGGCTCCTTGGCAAGGGCAATAGCTCCAGTGTTGTCACAGAAGAGAGTCATCGGGCCCGACGCATTGGGTATGACTCCTAGGTCGGTAATGAACTCCTTCACCCAGACTGCTTCTTGTGCTGCCTCCGAGACTGCCATGTACTCCGCTTCACATGTAGATCCCGCCACAACGCTTTGCTTGCAACTGCACCAGCTTACTGCCCCACCATTCAAAATATACACGTATCCGGTTTGTGACTTAGAGTCATCCAGATCTGTGTCGAAGCTAGCATCGACGTAACCCTTTACGACGAGCTCTTCGTCACCTCCATACACGAGAACATGTCCTTAGTCCTTTTCAGGTACTTCAGGATATTCTTGACCGCTGTCCAGTGTTCCATGTCGGGATTACTTTGTTACCTTCCTACCAAACTTACGGCAAGGTTTACATCAGGTCTGGTACACAACATAGCATACATGATAGACCCTATGACCGAGGCATAGGGGACGACACTCATCTTTTCTCTATCTTGTGCCGTGGTCGGGCATTGAGCCGTGCTCAATCTCGTACCTTGCAATACAGGCAAGAACCCCTTCTTTGACGGATCCATTTTGAACTTCTTCAATATCTTGTCAAGGTACATACTCTGTGAAAGACCAATGAGGCGTCTCGATCTATCTCTATAGATCTTGATGCCTAATATATAAGCAGCTTCTCCAAGGTCCTTCATTGAAAAACACTTGTTCAAGTAGGCCTTTATGCTTTCCAAGAATTTTATATCATTTTCCATCAACAGTATGTCATTCACATACAATATGAGAAATGCTATAGAGCTCCCACTCACTTTCTTGTAAATGCAGGCTTCTCCATAAGTCTGCGTAAACCCAAACGCTTTGATCATCTCATCAAAATGAATGTTCCAACTCCGAGATGCTTGCACCACCCCATAAATCGAGCGTTGGAGCTTGCACACCTTGTCAGCATCTTTAGGATCGACAAAACCTTCTGGCTGCACCATATACAATTCTTCCTTAAGGAGACCATTAAGGAATGCCGTTTTGACGTCCATTTGCCATATCTCATAATCATAGAATGTGGCAATTGCTAACATGATTCGGACGGACTTCAGCTTCGCTACGGGTGAGAAAGTCTCATCATAGTCAACCCCTTGAACTTGTCGATAACCCTTAGCGACAAGCCGAGCTTTATAGATGGTCACATTACCATCCACGTCTGTCTTCTTCTTAAAGATCCATTTATTTTCTTTGGCTCGCCGATCATCGGGCAAGTCAGTCAAAGTCCATACTTCATTTTCATACATGGATCGTATCTCGGATTTCATGGCTTCCAGCCATTTGTCGGAATCCGGGCCCGCCATCGCTTCTTCATAGTTCGAAGGTTCACCGTTGTCTAACAACATGATTTCCAAGACAGGGTTGCCATACCACTCTGGTGCAGAACGTGTCCTCATGGACCTATGAAGTTCAGTAGTAACTTGATCTGAAGTTTCATGATTATCATCATTAACTTCCTCTCTAGTCGGTGCAGGCACCTCAGGAATATTTTCTTGAGCTGCGCCACTTACCGGTTCAAGAGGTAATATTTCATCAAGTTCTACTTTCCTCCCACTTATTTCTTTCGAGAGAAACTCTTTCTCTAGAAAGGACCCATTCTTGGCAACAAAGATCTTGCCTTCGGATCTAAGGTAGAAGGTATACCCAACAGTTTCTTTAGGGTATCCTATGAAGACGCATTTTTCCGACTTGGGTTCGAGCTTTTCAGGTTGAAGTTTCTTGACATAAGCATCACATCCCCAAACTTTTAGAAACGACAGCTTAGGTTTCTTCCCAAACCATAATTCATACGGTGTCGTCTCAACGGATTTCGACAGAGCCCTATTTAAAGTGAATGTGGCAGTCTCTAAAGCATATCCCCAAAATGACAGCGGTAAATCGGTAAGAGACATCATAGATCGCACCATATCCAATAGAGTGCGATTACGATGTTCGGACACACCATTACGCTGAGGTGTTCCAGGCGGCGTGAGTTGTGAAACTATTTCACATTTTCTTAAGTGTGTGCCAAATTCGTGACTCAAGT